TGCTCGCAACGAAAATACCCTTTCCAAAAATTCAATTTCAAAGGCTAATCATAACTCGAGGTGGATCCCCGTATTTCAGTGAACATAAGTGGTTATACTAATGTAAGCTAACGATCTTACAGTTTCCAATTAGTTTTTCTTCTTCAGCTCCTCCTTTTCTTCTGTTTCTGCATCGCCACCCCTTAAAAGCATTGACAATATATGAACGGCATTACCAATTGGGAACTTCTTTTTGTTTCAAACTATCAGGGATTTTTAGAACATTCAGGGCTTCGTCGTCATAACCTAATCCTAACAGAGTAAGGGGTTCTTCATATGGAAAAGGGAAAGCTTCGCTCACGCAGGCTCTCAAAAAAATTTCTTTGCTTTTCCTGAAATATGCATGGCATCTCACGCAAACATACTGCATGCGATTATATTCCAAAGCAACTAGTCCTTCCCAGAATCTCCAAATTTTTATGGGATTTTGGACTTTTTATATGGGGAATTGAGATGGACCCGAAATTCGTGATGTTTTTGAAAGGACATTTCATGCTCTTTGAATTATATGCGAATCTCGTACAATAATACTATTGAATGGTCTTTTTCTCCATAGCTTTCATAACGACTTTTGTAGAATTCGGGATTTTCACCTAGAAAAATGCAGTTTACTCCTGTATTTCAGCGTTTTAGTAGGACAGAAACTCTTTTTCCATATATTCCACATTCTCAAAGGAGTGCGGTTTTGTACTCCCATTCATCTCATTGATTCTTCTAAACGTTTTCAGAAAATCGTTAAAATCTTCATCTAGGAGATTGAAAGTCTCTCAGCATTCTTTCGGAAGATAAATTTTACTAGATTGGCTTAGTCGTAGAACTAACGTTGACTTTGGACTGTTGATTCTGAAGGAGTACTCACTAGCATGTTGACACTGTCAATTTCTAAAGCTGGTGCTGGCTTTATTGTTGGCACTGTCGATTCTGAAGTATGGTGATGTTGACTTTGTCATCATTGAAGTAGTGGTTGATGTTATATTGAATGCGCAGTTCTTGTTGACATTGGCTCTGTCGATTCTGAGATAGTGCTTGCTAGCGTTGATGTTGTCTCAGTCGATGTTGAAGTACTTCTTTCCAGCGTTGACGTTGCTGTCGATATTGAAGTACTGCTTGCTAGCGTTGACCTTGCTCAGTTGATGTTGAAGTACTGCTTTCTTACCGTGTTGTTGGCTCTGTCGATGCAGAAGTGCTGCTTGTTGACGTAGACGTTGCCTCAGTTGTTGTTGTAGTACTGCTAATTGGCGTTGACGTTGCCTGAGTTGATGTTGAAGTACTGCTTTCTAACGTTGATGGCTCTGTCGATGCAGAAGTACTGCTTGTTAGCGTTGCTGTCGGCTCGTCGATGCTAAAATGCTGCTTGCTAGCGTTGAAGCTGGCCTTGTGGAAATTGGGGTAGTTGTTGCTAGCGTAGATGATGGTTCTCTTGGAGTGGTCGTTGCGAGTGTTAATATCACTGTCGGAGCGATGCGTTGAATTTGGAACTGTTGATGTGGAAGGAGTGCTTGGCATCGTTGAGGTTAGCTCTTTCGAGATGCTGTTTTTGCTGTTGATGTTTTAAGTCTTCGTGCATCTATCTAGGGAAGCTTCCACAATTGACTTCCTAGTCTTGATTTTAAACCAATTTCCTCCACTTAAGTATTCGAAGGAAACATCGTAGCCATTAGCAGTGCACATCCCTTCTGCTTTTCTGCTGCATTTTTCTACCCCATACCTGAATGAGCCTATGTTTAAATCTTATTTGTATCGGGTGTCTCTACTGGCTTTCATTCGGTTTTTACACTTTTATTTGTCACTTTAAGCACAATTTGATCGTCTATGTTATCGATTGGAATTGCAATTTTCTTACCTTACTTCCGGTACTACACAGGTTGTACGGCTTCTAGGATCTCTGCAGTTCAATGTGGATATTTTCGCACCCTTTGGGCATTCTGCAATTTACAAAGTCGAATGGCATCCTTCATTTTCCAGGATGCCGTTTATTAATTTCCTCGTAATGTATTGCATGTTACTGATTGGTTCTATGGCCTGCTACTTTTGCCTTCAGATTTTCACGAGCTTAAAAGGCCAAATGTACGTTCTAGGTTGAGGAGTCTTACACTTAACACCTCCCGGGGCAAGTGTAATGTTTTTTTGGATAACACGGCTCAGGTTCTAGTGCTCACACTTGTGTTTTAAACAACTCCATTGTTCTAAATAATGCAGTAGTCAGTTGAGTCAACTTTATTCTATTTTACGTTTGCTGCAGTCATAAAATCATGAGGTAAACGAAAATTTGAGTTAAACCCCTATTAAGTTTTGTATGAGAACATAAAAATGTAGAATCTTCATCTACCTTTTTTTTTTCCTTTTTTTTTTCCCTAATTCTCGGCGCAATATAAAGATTGTAAAAACTTTGGAGAAGCTACAAAATGATAGTCAACGGCTTTGGTTACTGGCCTATTTCGGTGACGTTGACTCTTCGTACGGATTTTGAATGCACGGACCTGAATTGCTAAGAGAAGGAAGCAGATGACTGAAAACGTTCTCATTTTCTTGGGGGTCGCTGCAATGCTTACATACTTAACGCGGCCGTTTTATAGCCATATTTCAATTTCTGTTGTTCATCATCTGTTATCATTTGACAGGAATGCGTTAATTAAGTGTATTTGTCACTCTGGAGACAAATATTTCATAATGGCTTGCGCGCAGCCAAAACATTAGCATAATAACCAAAAGTCCTCCGCAAATTCATTTTAGAATTTTTCAATTAACTCGAATTTTACAGAAAATTAATTACCCTTGTGAGGATCTGTGACCATAGGCCTTCAGTTGTACCTATATTCCTTAGAACTGGAGTAACTGATCGAGATATACCTTTACAGGAGGCGGTTGACTTTTTTCTCATCAAAATCCACAGCTTTTTACACAAAAAAACTAAAAATGTTGCTCTGTAAAATGCATCAAATTTAGAGGTTCAATGTATTCGCACATCATATATGTTTGAGAGACAATCCTAGTTACTGTTCTCAGGGCTTTTCCTGCTTTTTAGGGGTTTTCCTCATAATGAACAAGTTTTTTCCCAATTTCTCTTCTATCCAGTGCTTGGGATTCTTTCAGATTGCTTAGATCCTTCATAATTCTCCGGGATTTCCCTTGTTTGTGGAATTTTATCCCCAATTTTCGAGGGTTTTTTTCATCGTTCCGGACTCTGGAATTCATTCTTTTC